GTAAACAGCTCACTAGGCACACGCAGCTGAAACCAACCAAAGATGCAAATTGATGCTGATCAATTTAAATATTAAAATTTTACAGCACTTTGTGAGCTGTTTTGTAAATTAATTAATTTTAAAATGGATGAGGCAGTAACATCGAATTTTAGCTAATTATGTTTAAATTAAATATAAGCATTTAAAATAACCATTTTAATTAAGTACAAAGCTCAGGCAACTAATCATTACAAGTGGAACTGGTAACTTGAGATTTGTCCTTCTGAAACCACTTGTACCACATTCCTAATGAATTCTTTCCTCTACTTAAATGAAAGACTAAATTTATCTCCCCAATGTGGCAGCTAGTAAAAGATAACCCTTTCTGGGGTCATGGTCGTCAATTTGATGTGAATCAGAGGAAAGAAATTTCTTTTACTAAAGTCTCTTAGAGTCAAAACTGGGTTTACTATTTGCTAACCTCTTTCTAACTTGTAATATTTTAGTTCTATAAACACCTACGAAAAACCTCAGTAACTGAACTAGCATTTATTACTGCAAAAGAAAATGGATGCATTTTGTAAAACAAAAAAAAAAATTGTATAGAGGACAGTAAGAAAGAAAAATCTAAATAATAGAGTGATTTTATTTTTTAAAAACATTATATTACAATTTCTTAAATAATGAGAGATAACATGCCAAAAAAATTCATTTCCTAAATTGTGGACATACATGGCCTAAATGTTATATTCATAACAATATATAAATCTGGCTGGTGGCCTGGTGGGCTTGGAGCTATGGCAAAACATCATCCAGATTGATCTTTTGAGCAGTGCCTGTGGCTCAATGGGTAGGGTGCCGGCCCCATATACCGAGGGTGGCAGGTTCAAACCCAGCCCCAGCCAAGCTGCAACAAAAAATAGCTGGGTGTTATGGTGGGCCCCTGTAGTCCGAGCTACTCGGGAGGCTGAGGCAAGAGAATCGCCTAAGCCCAGGACTTAGAGGTTGCTGAGCTGTGACGCCACAGCACTCTACTGGAGGGCGGTAAAGTGAAACTGTCTCTACAAAAAAAAAAGAAAGAATCAGATTTGATCTTTTGCCATAATCAGGCTGGTGTTGCCATTGGAAGACTGTGCAAAAAATGTGACAACAAGTGTGTAATCTGTGACTCCTACGTGTGTCCCTGCACCCTGGTGCTCAGCTGTAATGAGTGTAACTACGGCTCTTACCAGGGGTGCTGTGCGATCTGTGGGGTCCTGGAGTCTCGGATGCCTATTATGGTAAGGAACGCACCATCCAGGAGAAAGATAGAGATGGCCGCCCCAGAATTGTCAACTTGGGGAGCTCTAAGACAGACCTCTTCTATGAACACAAAAAATATGGCTTCAAGAAAAGGTGATTGGTGGGTGACCCCTTCCTCCCCACATCAAGCTGCTGCCAGAAAAGATGCTTCCTACTGCCAGCAGAGCGGGAAGGGAGCCCGGACCATCACCAGCATCGCCGGCTAGGGTCCTGGCACCTTGCCACCCTTCTTTTCCCCTCCCCCAGACACGTTAGGAATGGAAAGGATTCTTCACAGACCACCCTGGCAGACCATGTAGGAGAAAACTGATGAATTAGTTAATTTTTTTCTTGAATTCAAGAAGCAGGGCTCTGCTCTCCACATGGGTAAGTTCTCTCTACACCAAGAGCTTCTAGAAAGGAATACTATTTCAGCCTTCCCTTTGAGGAGCTGACTACAGTGCACGCACAGTGGAAAGCATGTTCTTGCCGCAGCTCTGACGGCCACTGTCCTGGAGGGGTATCCAGAGGTGGGAGCCACCAGAGTGTTAAATGTGGGCATTTGGTCTCCTAATGGTGACCAGGTGGTGCTGCTCACATGCTACTTTCCTTCTGAGAAATCGGAAACCCTGTCTGTTGCTATTATGTTAACAAAGTTGGGGCTTATTTTCTGGGTAAAAAAAAAAAAAATACATATATATATATATATAATATATACCTGGATTTTTTAAAAGAGTCATTAGTTTTCATAGAACAATGGAACTATCATTGAGCATAAATTCTGACACCTTATAAATGTTTACAAATTAAGTGAACAAATTATTGATAGTGTTTATGAAATAATCTTTAATAGGTCCCTCTTTTGAAGCCATTTTGCCTCCCAGAGTGGCTCAGGCTACTTTGGACTGGTCTGGGTCAGGCTGACCTGGGCTACTATGGGAAGGAGGCTGATGAAGACCCTGCAGGTGTGTTGTTATCAAAACCTTGTCAGTGGGGTTGTTTTCGAGACCTTAAAAACAGTGGGCTATTTGAGAATAGTTAATTAAGACCCTAGGAGACTGGCAGGAAGCCGCTGATACTCGTTAAAGAGTATCAGAGGCTGTGCTTTCCATGGCACCTGCACTCACTAGGACAGGCCAGCTTGCTCTGCACATCATTAATAAATATTTTCTTTCTTTCTTTCTTTCTTTCTTTTTTTTTTTTTTTTTTGAGAGTCTCATTTTGTCACTCTCAGTAGAGTGCGGTAATGTCACAGCTTACAGCAACTTCAAACTCTTGAGCTTAAGCGATTTTCCTGCCTCACCCTCCCAAGTAGCTGGGACTACAGGCACCCACCACAACGCCCAGTTATTTTTTTAGAGATAAGGTCTCACTCTGGCTTTGGCTCGGGCTGGTCTTGAACTCTTGAGCTCAGGCAATCCACTTGCCTTGGCCTTGCAGAGTGCTAGGATGACAGACGTTTGTTTTCTTTAAAAAAAAAAAAGTTCCAGGCACACCATGGAACTCAGTCCTAACTGGCCTTAAATTGTCCTCTTAGCCAGCAGAGGTTCTGCTGACTTTTAGATTCTTAACATTTGTCCCAATTCTAAAATACAGGAAAGCAACAGAGAATAGAGAAACACACTGCCTTCAAAGCTATGAGTGGATGCGCGTCAGCTTTATCAGCTACTCAGAATAGATTCAAGCAGAAAGTAAGATAAAAAACGAATGGTTTTAAAATACAATCCCTTGAGCCTAGAAGTTTGAGGTTCCTGTGAGCTAGGCTGTTGTCACTGCGGAGTGACAGAGTATGACTCTGTCTCAGATAAATAAGTACATAAGTTAGCAGTTTGATTCCATGAACTAAATACCTACAATACTGATTGCCACATTTTTCTTCTGATGTAAAAACTGAGCTAATTGAAGGTGTCGCCCTTAAGGAACAAGTTCTACAGGGTAATGAATGTTGAGTGCCCTCTTGAGTTTAGCATTTTAATTATTCATAATTATAATGATTTCTGTTTATTTGAGAACTTCCGAGATAATTCTAGTTTATGAAACAAATTGAGAAGCAGAATGGTTGAGGCTTTATTTTGTTTTGTTCATATGGAGGTCAGCAGGCCTGCGGATATGCCAAGAAATTCTCACACATGATGGAGGGCATCTCACACATGATGGAGTGATAGGTGGGCACAATCGATGTGTGATGTGCCCTGAAATAATAACTGGATGCTCGTTTTTCCACTTGTTCTCTGATTTCTCTAGAACTATGTGGATAGTATTGGGGTTGTGAGTAGGGTGACCAGACGTCCCGCTTTTGGCGGGACAGTCCCAATTTTCAACAATTTGTCTTGTGACCCCCGGCGTTTTAAAAAAGTCCCGATTTTTGGAAAGAATGCACGAATGGGCGGGAGAACAAGAAGGGAATATATGGTTTTCAGCTGCCATGTGGCTATTTCGCCAGGATATGAGTTTTATATCATTTTTATTGATTTTATAATGTTAAACTGTAATAATAACAAATAATTGTTGAGAAGTGATTATTGAGAACTGCTTATCAAAGTTTGCATTGTTGTCAGGCCCCTACCAGAAGCCCGAACCCAAGGCGCTCCTCCCCCATTGATGTCCCACTTTACCAATGTTAAAATCTGGTCACCTTAGTTGTGAGGTGAAAAATTGACAGGAATCAACTGGAAGAATTGAAACTAATTTGTGAAATTTTTTTTAATCGGAAGAGGTATAATAAATTCAGTAGCTATTAGCCAAATGTATAAATTTTTAAGGCCTTTTCTTCTTTTGAAAGAGTACATGTGAATGTGTGTGTATGTGTGTATGTGTGTGTATGTGTGTGTGTGTTTGCTTTGCACTCCAAATGTATTTATTATACATACAATGAACTCAAGTCAAAGATAGATCTCTGGGCCATTTTGGACCAGGATAATCTTTGTATCTACTGTTACTGAATATATATCAATGATAATGATGGGTTTGGTCCCTACAATCTATTTAGATGTCATGCACACTCTTAATAATTAGCCTGAATAGTGATTAAATATTACTTTTTAAAAGGAGTTTTGAAATTGGCGGTTGTATTTTTACCATATTTTTCTACACTTCATCTTAGCCAAAGGTCAAGAAGCAATTCTCCCATCTTTTTCTTTTCTTTTTTTAACCCCTTTAATATAGAACTTTAGTTTTAAAGCCAAACCTCTGTGGCTAGAGAATTACTCAAGTCTTCTGATAGTCTATATTCAACTTCAGAAGAAGCAAGAACTGCTTAACATATTCAGGTGGTAGCAAAGGTACAAATGACTGATGTAGATAATCATCACTGTCAAAGGTTAGTCTGCACATACACAATAGAAATCATTTTTAAAGAGCATAAACTTAATCACTCTCACCTAAAATTCTCAGCCGACAGATCATAAATGAGGTTCTGCTATGCGAGCATTATTTAAAAGCACACGTGGGTAGCTCTCAATTTACAACCCCATCCCTGATCAAGGGGAATTAACAATTACATGTCCCAGGGTAAGCTCAGATGTGATTTCTGCTCTTATTATTAGCACTTTGTTCAATAAAGAGACTGGAAATAGTATGAGGAAAAGAAAAAGAAAATAAGTTTGTCAACCACAATATACTTGTTCTCACAACAAATCGTTAACCACAGATTCTAAGGGACAAGAAAAACAGAAAGACTAATAATTGGAAAATCACTTTGCCTCCATGTCCAACCCCAGGTGGTAACAAGCGGGGAACAAACAAACCAAAAGGACAGCGGGTAGGTGAGGAGAGGCCATGGAATATCCGCCAACAAGATAATTAATCATCGCTGCAATCACTGGACGTGTCTGAATGTAGGTACGTGTACTGAAGACTCTTGGGTGCGCTTGCAATTCATTATCTAACTCTCCCTATTCCTATCCATGCTATACACCTGCCATCCCATCGGTCACAGCTACTCAGGAACCCCTGGAATCCTCCGACAGGCGGTCTTCTCTCCTGTCTTGAACTTTTTTTTTTTTTTAGAGATAAAATCTCACTTTGTTGCCCTCAGTAGAGTGCTATGGCATCATAGCTCACAGCAACCTCCAGCTCTTGGGCTTAGGCAATGCTCTTGCCTCAGCCTCCTAAGTAGCTGGGACTACAGGTGCCCACCATAACACTCAGCTGTTTTTTTGTTGTTGTTGCAGTTTGGCCAGAGCCAGGTTTGAGCCCACCACCCTTGGTATATGCGGCTGGTGCCCTACTCACTGAGCCACAGGAGCCACCCCTGTCTTGAAGTTTTAAAACATTCTACAACAATAGCTTCACGTTGCCGCCTGCTCTCTAATCTCAGTGTCCCCATGTAGAAACCTTCCCCCCCACTGAAAACAAGTTCTTGTTTTCCTGAACACAGAAATCCTTCATCTTTGCTGTCCCTCCTATCTGAAATAACTTTCCTAACTCATCTTTGCTGGTTTTAGTTCCATTAACTCTCCAAGGCCAAAGTCAGGTTCTACCTTCATTAGAAAAACCTTGCTGATTTCTCCATCCCCATTATTTCCCTTCTCCCAGATTTCTATGAAAATGTGTTTACACCCTTCCTTTGAAAATTGTTGGGCAAGTTCCTTATCATGTATTGCTTTTTGATCTGCATATTCGCATGTCTCTGCGTAACAGCTGTTTATTTCTGGAAAAGTCAGGATCTGTTGTGTTCTTGTATAAACCAGGAACCCAAGAGGAGGGGAAACAGGTGTATAATGAGCTGACCTGGTGGAGGGAGCAACGGAGAGGGGATTCAGAGCACAGACGCTGGAGCCAGACTTTCTGAGTTTGAGCTCCTACTCAGCCAATGACTAGTTGAGTGACCTTGGCAAGGTTTTTTGGTGAAACTTTCTGGGCCTTAATTTCTTCATCTCCAAAATAGGGGTGATGTCCATCTCGCGGGTTGTGATTAAATGAGCTGATAAATGAAAAGGGAGTAGAATAGCATTTGATACATATTAAACACTCAAAAATCATTGCCTTCATCACTGTATATACATCACTGTATAATCCAACTCAACTGATTTTTCTCAATAATGCTCTGGAATAGATGGCATTGCCCCATTCTCAAAACAAGGACACTGTGGCAGCTCTGAGAGGTCAAGGTTCTGCCCAACATTGTTCAAGGAGGCAGAATCAGAACTGAATTGTCTGACCTTAAATCCTCTTCATTTCATTGTGAACATTCGCTCACACACAGGTGCCCTGTGACTGATTGTTATTGATAAGGATTAAAATTTTCCCTTCTATTCATATGGTTTTAAACTAAACAATGCTGAAATTTCACAAGGTCTGATATTTTAAAAATGTTTTGAATGTGAAATGCTTTTAGTTGTAAATACATTTTTTGTGAGTGAATCCAAATGAGGAGGGGTCAAAATTACTTTTTTGGGTCTGATTTAGAGGCTAAAATTCAACTCAACCAGTATTTCTGTTTTGAGGCCCTGTAGGAAAAGGAAGAAGAAAATGCCCAGTGACTGTTTCTACCCTAGGTTATTTTACAGTTTATGTGACTCAAGTAATGGAAACACCTAACAGCTTTCCAACATGTCTCTGCTGGAGAACTGAGAGATTGGCCCTTCGGACAACCCTGTCTTCCTCACCCCTGTGATAGCAGGTTGGATGCAGTGTCACTGTCTACAAAAAGGACACTTTTAAATTTGACAGAATATACCATTTTAGAGTAAACTATAAAATGTATGTGAAGTACCTTTAAAATTATCTGATTCTACTTGAAATTATTTTGGAGACTTGACAGAGAGCCCTGATCAACATGGCATTCTAGCCATTCTGCGAATCTCTTTATTGTCTAGGGAATCACCAGCATGTCTGGTTCATCTCACTTGCAAAGTTTCTTGGCTGCTGCTACTTCATTTGTGCACCTGCAGGGCTGAGCACTGTCCTGGGATGTGGTGAATTATCAGTAAGTCCTTGATTAAATTAATTTTGCCACCACACTAATATATGAGGTATACTGTGACCCCCTGGCTTACCCCGAATTCCAGAGTAGCTTCAGAGAGTCTCCGTAGATGTAAGGGAACTAACTGCCTTTGAGTGAAGCATTTCTTAGAGTGAGGATTGGAAAGGCTAACAGTTTTGAACTCTTAACCTTATTCTAGGATTTTTACTTTCCACACATCATTTCATTTAATCCTCAAAATAACTCTGAGAAGTAGGCATTGCTCTCCTCATTTACCAACAAGGAAGCTAAAATTCAGAGTGTTTAATTAACATATTTAAAAATTGCACAGCTGGTGAAAAAGAATTTGCAGTACGAGTTTAATCCAAAGACCAAACCAACGATGTGGTAATAATGGGAATGAAATGAGGCCTGGATTCATGATCCTGAGGCAGGTGCACTCCTAGGACACTAACTTCAAGTGACCTCAGGCCTGTCACATAACCTCCTCATGCCTTGGTGTCTTCATCTCACAGGACGTTTCCATGAAGACAAAAATACTGTATTTGTAAAATGGCTTTAAAGTGATCAGAGATGCTGTGAACATAAATGATAGTATGAGTCTGGTAAATATAAGCATTGAAACCCATTTTAAAACATGATATAACATGTAGGTGTAATGGCCGTACTCACCCAAGGACTGGATATGGGACAAAACCTCAGACATCAGCACTTTTGTATATAGAGCCACTGCCTTGTTCAGGGGTTGTTCCTACAAAAGATACTCACACAGCACATTAAGAGTGATACTATTCATGCAGACATGGGTTTAACAAGAAGTGTGCTCCGCCCAGAGACCCTGAAACACCCTCACTGGGATCCAGCCTGCTGCTTCTTGAAACAATCTCCTTAACAGTTTTTCAAGGGAATTAATGACACTTCAGGTTGTGGCTGATGACTGGTTTTGACCTTGTGGATGGGTGAAGGGAAGTAAATGTGTTTGATGAGTTATTAAGCACATGCTTCAGTTATTGTGAGAGTAGAAACAGCTCAGTCTTATACAACTGTGAGATGTTTTCTATTTCTTAGCACTTAATTACCTTCCTACTGAGTTTAGATAGTAAGTCATTAATCTCAGGATATGACACGGTGTGTTTATTTACATTTAAGAAAGTAACCCACATTTCTTTTTCTTTTGTTTACTAATGTAAACTTATTTCAAACACTCCCTACTAAACTTTTTTTAAAAATTGTATTTTAGGCTCGGTGCCTATAGCTCAACCCGCTAAGGCGCCAGCCACGTACACCTAAGGTGGCAGGTTCGAATCCCCAGCCCGGACCCGCCAAACAACAATGATGGCTGTAACCAAAAAATAGCCAGGCATTGTGGCGGGTGCCTGTGATCCCAGCTACTTGGGAGGCAGAGGCAGGAGACTCGCTTGAGCCCAGGAGTTGGAGGTTGCTGTGAGCTGTAATGCCACGGCACTCTACCCAGGGGGACAGCTTGAGGCTCTGTCTCAAAAAAAAAAAATTGTATTTTAGCCTGAATACAAACAGGTAGCTTAGCTCAGATGTTAAACAGCATTTTAGGAGTCAAAAAGAAGTTAAGAAACCTGGGCAGTATCTATGGCTCAAGGAGTAGGGCGCCAGCCCCATATACGGAGGTGGGTGGGTTCAAACCCAGCCCTGGCCAAAAAAAAAAAAGTGAAGAAACCACTTTTATATATCATTTGCCAGCGCCTACCTGGAGGAGGCCTCTGCTTCCAAGATCTACGGCTGAGATGGAGAATCTATGATCAACTGCTCAATTTCATCTGGCCAATTTCAACTGTCAACTATTTCTAAAAATATAGGTTCGTGACAATAATACATTTGACTTTTTGTAATAGCCTTCTTAGTATTTGCAGTTTATCGTTATTGTTAATTATTAAGCATTTTGATTGTGAGGCTATTGGTTGCAGTAATATAGCAACAAACAGCTAATTTGGGATATAGTCTTCAGTTTTAAAAGTATTTTGTAAACTGTAAGTCACTATATAGATATTATTTCTAATAATTAAACATAAGCCTGCCAGAGAGTGAAACATAATAGGGAAAAAGTCCTACCTTTTTTATTTAGAAAGTATTGATGACTGTGTGTTTTTCAATACATAACGGGGTATCTGTGAGAAAACTCATAAGAATTGCCATAATATCTGGCATTCATAGAGTGCCTGCTCCATGCTAGACACTTTAAAATAGACCATTCTTAATCAGCTTGCAAGTAGATTTTTTAATCATCTTATACAAGTGAAGAAGTTGGGGCTCAGATAGGTTAATTCACAGGTAAACTAATAAATGATACAGCCACAATTCAAACTCGGATCTTCTAGGCCCCTCTGCCCATACTCTTCAACTATCAGGCCAGGAGGTAATGAGTGAAAAAGAAAAGCTCTCAAACACAAACTGTAGTAATCGATACCACTTATGAACGTGTGTGCTGGGTGCTAGGTTGGGTGCACTAGGGAACGTAAATTCACATCTTGATAAATAGCTCGATCATGTTCATTCATCCCAGGCCTTTTGAATGAGTTGGAAATTAATAATCCCATTTGCCTTAGGAGAAATTTAAGGTTCAAAAATATTGGGAAACTGACGCAAGACGGCACACCTGCTAAGGAGCAGAACCAAGTTGCCAATGCAGGTCTTTGCAAGTTACAAAGTCCATGTTCTTTCTATTAGTGACTAGCATAAGGTAAAGTATATGTCTGATTTATAAACTAAACACTCTCTGAACTACTACGTGTTTACTTTTTTGCTTTTAAATTTAAAAACTGAGTAGTAGAGAGATTTCAGAACATTAACATTCGTTCAATCGATATGCACCAGTTTGTGTTTATTCTAATACTGCCTAGGTTGACTTTTTTTTTTGAGACAGAGCCTCAAGCTATCCCCC